TGTCAGGGGAAAACAATACATAGCTGTAAATAGGCACTCTTGCTTGCAGTACTTATCTCTGTTCATGCTATGCACAAGATAATGCTCAGTGTGATAAGGAGGACTATTGATACAGTTTACAGATGGCTAGGACATGAAGAAATGCAGTTGTGTTGCAGCTGATGAGCTTGCACCTCAGCAAGCATAGCAAGTGGCTTTCCCTGATGAGGGTGGGATTACGTCAGAATGTGGAAAATGCCAGGCACTTCTGCAGCCCCTTTTGGCTATGGTTTTGTTAATTAAATTCTCCCAGAGCATTGCTTTCAGCCTGCACCAAGTGCAGGACTCTTCTCCCTGTTGGTAGCTGTGATAACAGTGATAGCAGTGATGTTCAATGTCCTTTTCTCTCTCTCAGTCGCTGTTGTCCCAGAGGAAGAGGGGCTGCAGCTGCCTGTCACAAATACCACTCTGAGGGCAGGAGGGGATTTGGAGACGACAGCAGATGGACAAGAGTAGGAGGGCAACAGCAGCAGATTATAAATGTTCCTGCAGTTCAGCTGGAATGGATCTTTTCTGTCTTTGATATGCTAGTTCCTTATCCCATTCCTGTAATCTTTAAAAAACTGGAAATACATTGAGATTTTTTTTTTTCCTTCTCTCACTCCCTAAAAGAGGCCCTTTCAATATTTTCCCTCTCCGCGCAGACTGAGGAATTTGCAGGGTGAGTGTGAACCCATGCCAGATATCAGGGTTAACACACAAGATGAATAGAAGAGAGCACATGAAAGGGACACAGTGTGGCTAAGGCAGAGAAGAGTGTTTCAGAATAGGTGTGCATTGACTAGAGCTACATCCTTCTGGAGCCTCTGAAGGACAGCAGTGTATGACTTGGCAGAAGCAGAAGTGCTTCTTTTATTTTGCTCTTTTGAGTTAGAGGAAAACAAATGTTCACAGAATAAACACAGACATAGGCTCTCCAAAGCAAAAGACAAAAAAAAGAAAGAAGAAAGAGTGCTGCTTAGGAAACACTTTGCCTGCTAACACAAGAAGTTTCATGAGCAGCCATCCAGTCTGGTATCCTAGTAATGAGTGACTAGCTCATCAGTGTTTATTCTTGTGTAGCTTATTTCTTTTCTGGTGCTGGGTTTTGGAGTTGTTTTCTCTTTTGTTCTTGCACTCACTGATTTTTGTGTGATTTATCATGGCTGGTTTCATATGCCTACTGCCTACATTAGTTTCTCTTGCAATCAAAGCTTGCTGTGAGGCCTTGGCTCACTTACCCAAGGGTTTCCAACATCCAGCTACCATGGAAACATAATCTGCACTGATGCACGGACGAGGGTTCAAGACAGATGAGATGCAGTCATATCAGACTTTGGAAAGCCTCCCGTGGACTTCTACCACAGCTCTGCAAGACAGACAATGCACAAGGAGTCAGAGTTTGTTTTCTTACTAGGATGAGAGGTATCACACCTCAGCAGAAAATTAGATTAGGTCATAAATGCTTTTTTGTAACTCATTCCTGCTGTAAGACATGCTTCTCAGTCTGTAGGGACCCTTCAATCTTTTAAGATGTACTATTTCTCTGGTTTCCTCAAGTTTTCCTGTCTAATGGCTAGCCATTCACCTCTGATGGACTTTCAGCCTGATTGGCATTTCTTCTTCACCCAGCCCTCTGTGGCCTGAGCCTCAGGACAGACCTTGGCCCTGCTCCATGGAAATGTTCCTTCTGCTGCAGCTGAAGAGCTCATTTAGCCTCTTGCAATGCCATCGCCTTTGAAGAGCTGCCAGGGCTAGGGGTAATATCCCAAGGTGCTCTCTGTCCAGGGAACAGTGCTCTTTTAGCCACCCAAAGACGTAAAGTCTGCACTTTTTTTCAAGTACATTGGGATCTCCTATGCCATGGTATGACTATGGTATGGCATATCCACAAAGGTTCAAGTCACTAAATGCAACAGATCTGCTTTGTATGTCATTGTAATTTAGGTTTGACCAGGTTTGTAAAATGTTAAGATGCACCTGGAAATTAATAACACTGTACTTTAGACTACTTTCAGTTCTGATTCTGAGCAGAAAAACATCAATATTTTGGTGTATGCTTAAGGCTTTCCAGTATATGGCAGCAGGAAGCTTTTGGATGTCTCTGGTTTATTAAATGTGGTATTTTTAGATCTTCATTATTGGTGAAGTCAATTCACAACAGACTTCTGGGAGGGGAAGAATTTAATCTCACTTCCAGCTTAGTTCAGCAAATATTCTAAGAGGAAAAAAAATTCAGCCTTGTTTTCCTTGCAAAAAAAGAATTCCATGTTTAGCCTATGAAGTTTCCTAAATCTGAAGTATTAAGAGCCTGACATTTACATTTTCCTCTGTGCCTAACTCAAACACATCCTTGCCATGAGTGATGCTTCTCAGTATTTTCCAGTTTACCAACAGTTAAATAAAAAGTGAGCAAACCTGAGGCATTTTTTGTCACCATTTACAAGCACTCAATAAGCTGCCAGAGCCAATAGCGTGGGGGGATGTTTTGCTAGGAGCAGAAGGGTGACAACTTGCACAATGGTGACTTCCTTCCAGAGCTGGGTGGGAACGCAACTTTTGTTTTTATGATTTTTCAGTATAGCTTGAGCTACAGAGCAATTAGTTGGTTGCTCAACCACAGTCCACTTTTTCTTGAGTGCAGCCAATCAAGCCTCAGCACACAGGTTATCAGAACCCGTCTGAGATACTGAGGAGCCCAAAAAGCTCAGGAACTCCATCTGAGACAACTGTTCAGTGCAGTGAGCTGCATGTGGATTTTTCTGTATGACTATGGGGCTTTCTCAGGAGCAAATTCCAATTTGCCCCACTACAGAGCTTTTTGTTGCTGTTTCTAACATATCAAAAATTATGCCAACAGAATGTTCTGTTGTTCCCTAGCAACAGATTAAAAAAAAAATTGGGAAATTGGACGCCTTCAATTGCAACTTTGAACAATGCTATGAGAGCTTTCCTGCTAGCTCCATTGTTTCCACAATGGACTTTTCTGCTACAGGCCTGGTGAGGATGCTGTCATTGTCTTTTGTCCTTCACTGTAGATCCCATGACTTGCAGTGTTCCCATCTCTGATGTTGTTCTCCCAAGGCAGCCTACAGTGAAGAAAGTAGATGCTTAAGCTAGAACAAAGTCCATTGCTGTCTTACTAGCTAGGAGGCTGAACACAACATGCACAATTTCAACAGTGAGTGGTTGAATTTGATGACTTTGTTTCTGCAAAAAAGCAGCTCAGCAGAGTTTTCTGTGTAGGGGGCACGTTCTATTAGCATGGATAATAATGCAAATAAAGAGATACAGTTTTCTACTCTTATGGCAACAGGTACAAGGAAGGGACAAAAGCCTGTAGTCCTTTGCATGGGTTTCAAGTACTCTGTTCTAGGACTGCTGGAATCCAAAAGAGCTACAAAAAGACAAACGCTATGAAGTGGGTTCATATGTTCAATGCCACCACAGCGTGGTAGAGTTTCATCCCTACGCTGTCAAATTGCTGCCAAGACCCTAACAGTGTCATTTGGTGAAAGATCTTGATGCTTTAGCCTGGCAGCTGGCAATTCACCCTCCAGCTTCTTTCCATTGGCGAGCTTTCTTGGTCGGCAAAGCGATAGGCATTGAGTGGCACCATTAGCTGCAAGCAAATTCAGTTTAGAGATGCTTTTTGGTGCGTAAAAAGCCTCTGTGTGTGGTTTCCTGGTTGCTAACCTTTGTCTGTCACCTGGCGTATATTGCAGGCTTGCAGACTCCTTTGGAAAATCTCCTTGTATTTGATCTAGGTGGGTTTGCTGTCCAAACTGCACAGCTTACAGTTGTCACTGCCCAAGCTGGAAATTGCTGGTATCTTCTTGGCAGGCATGGCAAAGTCTGCCTGGTGTGGAAACTGACTTCAGTGCCAGTACTGCAAGAGACCATCACTGTGTTAAAAACAGGAGCAGTACGTAAACAAATAAATACCACAGTGACAGGAGAACCAGTTTGAAAACAGCGCTCTCAGCGTAATGCTGGGAAGTCCTTATTGCTGCTGCCCATGCTAATACTGCTCAGTGATGATAAGACAGTGGCTTCCACCTCAGTAAAGCAGTCTGGAAAATCTCAGGAGCCCTGTCTTTGTTCTGACATGATTGGTGTGTAAGGGTTTCCCCAGCAGAGCTTATATTTAAAGCCTCTCTAACCTCCTGTAACTCCTGCAAAGAGTTACAATCTTCCTTTGATTCAGTACTCCCAATAAAGTACAAAGCATTTGATTTAATTTCTGCATTGAGCTCTGAATTTTGTTCTGGGCTTTGTTCTCCTCAGAGCTTTGGAAAACAGAGAAAGAAGGGGGGAAGCATTTTAGTCGGTGTTAGACTCCGTGGCTTTGACACTATTGAAGCCTGATGAGCCTCTGAATTTTGATTGAATAGAGCCCTAAGAAAAGAAGTAGATCCGTTGAAAGACGACATTTCAGTGCAAGAAGGATGTGTGTTTAGGACTTTCCATTACATAATGGGGCTGAAATGGGTTAACAAGACCCAGGCTTTCTTTTTCTTGAGAATTGCTGCCTGCACCGCTCTTTTTCTATTACTGATGCTTCAGTCACAGCATTCACAGAAAGGTTTTCTTTGTTATTATTAGTTTGAGAAGTAAATTGCAGTATTGTTTCTTCTGATCAAGAGATTGATTAGTCAGAGGTCTCTAGCTGAAGGGAAAAAATGTTCCTCATTATCAACTTTAAATGTAAATATATTTGCCAAGCAGAGTTTCAGATGGTGGGGGGCTGGGGCTGGGGCTTGGGGGTGTGCCTTGCTCTTTTGATGTGCTGCCCATAACCATTTACAGATCTTTGAATGGCATCCCTCTCATCGGGTCAGTGAAAAGAGAGTGTGGGAACAATGCTCCTGAAAGAGAAAATTAACCATTGCTGCTTCTGTCTGGATGGTTCTTGTGGTATTTTGACAAGTAATGGTGCATATTTGTAGACTTTTTATTTTTTCCATTCTTTCTCTTTCTAGGTGCTTTCATAATCTGCTGGACCCCAGGACTAGTCTTGCTGCTCCTCGATGTTTGCTGTCCCCAGTGCAATGTCCTGGCCTATGAAAAATTCTTCCTTCTCCTGGCAGAGTTCAACTCTGCCATGAACCCCATCATCTACTCCTACCGGGACAAGGAAATGAGTGCGACGTTCAAGCAGATCCTGTGCTGCCAGCGCAGCGAGAGCACCAACGGCCCCACCGAAGGCTCGGACCGGTCAGCCTCCTCCCTCAACCACACCATCCTGGCTGGCGTCCACAGCAATGACCACTCCGTGGTGTGAAGCCACCGCCAGCCGCCTCACCGACAAAGAGCAGCGGGCGGTGCTCGGGCGGGGCAGGCGCGTGGCCCCGGGGAAGGTAACCCACTCACGTTTTCTCAAACACTAATGGACTACAAGTGCATCTTTTCCGGCGGCCTGACGTACCAGCGCAGACTGCCCTGTCCACAGGACTGGCCATGCTGCAGAGCCTTTGATTTCTGCTTTGAAAAAGTAGAAAGTAGTTGCTTTGCAGAAGAGGCCATCAATAACCCACAGAAAGCCTTGCTGAGACTTTGTTGGACTTTGCTGCATCTTGGTGCCAGTCTGAATCAACTCTGATTAATTAAGCTTATACCTGCTTCACTGCATTTACATGTAGCCACTTAGTATTTTTAAAAAGGGAGTAAAGGGGATAAAACTATGCCTATCATTTAATAGACATGTAATATGTATCACCATCAGCATGCTTGTGATGAACATTTTCTGTGCAGGGAGTAAAACTGTGCTCTAGTCTTTGTATCCTTAGCCACACTGTCATAACTACAGTAAAAAGAAAAGTTGTTTTTTTTTTCTAACACAGGCAACAGGAAGATGAGGGAAACTGACTCTTCTTACCTTCATTACTGGTGTTAGAGAATGCATGTTCTGTGTGTATGCAGATTGTTTTAATTATGAAAAAAAAAAAAAAAGCTCTTTGTAAAGTCTGCCGGAAAGTAGAAAAGCATAGACTGTATTCCAGTGTTTGTTTAGATTATGAAATAAACAGTACTTTAGTCACAATGTATATAAGGTTCTTCTTTGAAGTACAGTATGAAATTTGTAACATGTGAAGGGTACCAAGTTTTTTATGGATAAGTTCTTAAAGTAGGACACATCCCTAAGGCTCTTAAAGGGCTACAGTCAGGTTGGTAGATTGCAAAAATTGTATTTATGGCATATTCTTGGAATGCTTTTCTTGTTCGTGGCAAAAAGCATTTCTAATGGCGAAAAAGAAAAGGTATGTTTTTATGGAACCTTTCTGGTAATTGAAAACAAAACACTTTCTGCATTTTTGCACTGAGAAGTATTTGTAGGGTACCATTCAAATGATGCCTCCTTCATTTCAAAAGCAGTGGGCTACTAAGAGCCAAGGCACAATTTTATTTTGTGAAGTCGACACTTTAATCCATTGCAAATGACTGGACCATATTACAGAGCCACACATGTACACTTTTATAAATACCTAAGCTAACAGGTGGGTTTTTCATATGAGACTGTTTTGAAGAGAAATGTCACTCATGTGAATATCAGTTACCAAGAATCACTGAGAGTAAACAAAACTCATCAAGAGAGGTAACTGAGCAAAGGTGGGACCTTGCTGATAAAAAACTTGGGACGTCTTTCCAGGAAACTCTGTGTTCTCCTAACAATGTAAAATATATCAACAGTAAATTCCTGGCACTGTTCTTGTCATAATTTGTCTCTATAACAAAAAGAAAAAAACAAACAAGACAAAAAAAAGGGGAAAAACAAAAAAAAATCAAGAAAAAAACCCCACACTCACAAAAAAAATAACCCTGCAAAACAAAACAAAAAATCCAGAGATATATATCCTTCATTGTACCATACTGGAATGTAACTTAAGGGATTATATTCTCCCATTTGGGCAGGGAAAAAATGGAGGATGGAGGGTCAGCTCAGCAAAATACAGTGTTTTCAGCATCTCTTGCTTTGAGGAGATGCTTGGATTTTATCCTTCCAAGCAGAAAATTGCTTGGAATAGGCAGTTCCTTCCTGAGAGAGGGAAGAGAAACAAGTAAACTAATCCTGCCTCCACTGAATGAAGTGGGAGTTATGACACTGCTTTCAGTCAAACTGAAATCCACCTGAACTGTCAAGCTAGTTTTGTGTGGACACTATGGAAGGTGGAGTAGAAGGTGGACATTACATTGTTTGCCAGTTGACCAAGGTTTTGAATACATCCCCTTGCTTTGAACAAAACCAGTCTTTCTTCTGACTGTCTTTGACAGCAAGTGAATGTACAGGTTAATTTGGTTTTATTCACAGAACTGTAGTGAGAAACAGAAGAATAGGCTGTATGAACCTTTTTATTTCAAAGCATCTGCTTGCTAATCCACTCATATTTTTTCCTTAGTGCCTGCTTGATACTTGAACTAGTGAAGGTAAGCAGAAGAAAGGAGAGGGTAAGACTGCCTCCAAAGACAAGGATATCTGAGTGAAAAATAATTTCTTTTTCTCAAGAGTTCTTGGAGTATATTTCTTCCTTGGATCCAGCAAGAACAATTTTTCTTATCCCTAACATCCCCAGAAAAGTAGAAGATCGTAGACACTTTAGTCTAGGGTCTGGGTTTTTTTAGCTTTCCAAGTGTTCTTTTCACTGCTATTTGCATGCTTTTATTGAATCTCATCTGGATAGGGTGGAGGATGATATTACAAAACAACAACAAATCATTCACCCTAGTTTAACCTGCTGGAAGTCTGGTGGGTTTTGAGAAGCCAGGGGTGAATAACTTGAGAACAGGATTGGTGTGGCTGTTTGAACATGGGTGGGTCCAAAGGCCTCTTGTGAAGACAGATGCCCAAGGAGGCTTTCTGTCATCACTGTGATTGTGACAGAAGGTAGTTGCTGTCCAGGTACATAGTTCAACCCAAGGAGGCACTCGACAGTTCAAGAAGGTGAACCTTTTGAACTCTTAGCAGCAGTTAAATTTGAGTTGTCAGGTATATTAATCCAGGAGCAATCCTGTCTGGCAACAGGTGGCTTTTCTTCTAAAAGGTGAAGTGCAATGTTTCAGATCAAATGCAGCAGAAGGAACATTGCTTGTACAATTCTGGTAGAGGAATTCACTGAGCATATGGCTGCTGTATGGCAATTTAATTAGTGTTTTGTGTTGTTGACATGTTGTTCCTATATCCTTAAGAAATCTGATCTGTGAATTGAGTAGTTCTTTGCAAGCTAATGAAATTAAAGCTCCAGTGAGCAAAGAGAATAAAAACCAGAGCCTGGAATAGGATTCATTTGCTGTGTTCCTTAGAATGATTCCCAGCCATTTGTTGTCATCTCAGAATTTTTTTAAGTTTTGCTCTTCTATTCAGATTTTCCAGCCTCATTGTGCCATTGTAGAACTCACTTCTGCTATGTGAAAACATGGTGCAAAGTACTTAGGGAAAAAGATTGCCCCACTTATTTTTACTTATCTCAAATTCTTCAAAAGGTTTTAGGAGACTTCTTAAAATACCAACGATCCTCCCACAGTCATTAAAATTCTTTTGTTGCTGATTGCTTCTGGTCCAAGTAAATCCTCTTGAAGTTCAAATGTAATGGTGTTTGTGTCAGAATTGTAGTGGTGGGAAGTTGTGTGTTAAAAGGAATATCATTTGCAGATCAAGGGAAATGTATTTTCATTGTATTTTCAGTGGCAGTATAAATCTGAAAACTAACTAAAAAGATGGCCTTTGTATTTTAATTCCCTTTTGCTGTGATGTATACAGCAGCTGGGCAACCCATTGGTCAGAAAAATAATTTTTTAATAAAAATTGAAAATATATTCTATGTATGTTTGACACATTGATTTTCTTGTCAGCACCTTTTTTTTTGTTTGTTTGTTTTGAGTTTTCTGGGATCCCTTGGTAGCTTCAGGCTGGCTTCTGACTGAGATACTTAGAGCTGGGCAGATAGAAGAGAGGGCAGACCAAAGAAAAGCTTTTTCACTGATTCCTAAAATTAAGCATACCTCTCTGTCCGTAGTGAACCAGTAATGGATTTTTTTTTAATAGTTGCCATATTGGGTTTTTTTAACTCTGCCTTTGCCAAATAGTCACAGCTGTAGCAGCATTTAAACAATCAGGCAACAAAGGCTCGGAGTAGCCACTTGGTGAAAAGGAAAGGGCAGGCCTGCTATCTTCATGGGGCAAACTAAGCCTGGGTAACTTGGATGTCTAAGAGGAATGGACGTGTCTTATATCCAGTGTTTTAGTTCTCCTTCCTCTGCTAACTTCTGAATATCAACATAAATTTGTCCCAGTATAGGATTGCACTGAAATTAAGCTTTTCAGGTCATTCCATGGACTATCTTTTGGTCTGTAGTAGTGTGGTGGGCAGGGGTTTAACCATGGCCAGTCTGGGTCCCAGGAGCAGTGTGTCAAGGGAAACCCATGTGGGCTCTGCTTCTGAAGCAGGTTTTGTAGCTTTTTCTGACTTTTTTGTTGCTGCAGAAGTATGCTACCAGATACCATACTTAACTACCAGATACCTTACTTAATTACTGTAAAGCCATCTAGGGCTTCTGTCTGTGACACTGCTGCAGCCAGACCTGTCTGCAGTGGGTATCCACAGACAAAAAACATGCAGATTTTTCTGTGAAAGAAATAAAAGTCCACCATGCAGATTGGTTTTACCAGGTGGGATTAAAAAGAACACCACCAAATGGAGAGGCTTTGATGCAAGCACCCCAGTCTGTTTTTCAGTCTGTGTGAATCAAGGTGATGCAAAGCAGAGTGGGCAAAGGCGTTTCTCTAGGGCATTGTCCCCACCCCATACGGAGGCGTGACCCCGTTCCTGGTGTCCCTGTCATTGTTCTGGGTCTCTTCTGACTTCGAAACTGGATGTAGCTGGCAAAGGTCAGTAGTAAACTGGCTAATTTTTTCCACTTGCTGCAGAGGGAAATATAGGCTTTTCCTTTTTCTGGTCCTGTTAAGGGCTTTCCTGTTATTGCAAGTGTAGCTGTCGTGTCCTTTCAAACCGGTTCTTGCTGTGAGGCATCAGCCTGTGCTATACACTGGTGTCTGTAAGGAGGGGATTTGCAACTGCAGTCTCATTTGTTCAGACAAATTGCTTGGCTTTTCCATTTGATTGGAAAGGCCACTTCCAATAGAGAGTTAGCTTTACTGACATCCACACCTGCCCAGCCACAGCTCCTCAAGAAAATGTGCCCTTATCTTTCCTTCCATTTTCCTCTCTTAGAGGATTTTCTAAGAAGCTATTGACCTAGCTCCTCTTTTTTAAATCTATCAAGAAGATAAAAAAGAGGTTGATATTTAAAGAAAACAAACAAAACAGCCAAACCAAACCAAAACAATTACAACAAAAACCTCACAAAACAAACTTTAAAAGCCACAAGAAAAACACAGAGCACAAGGATATTAAACTATGCTGCTGTCTTCTGCGGTACGTGGAAATCCAACACACTGATAGCTGCCAGCATTTTAACAAGAGCCTCCATGAAATGTTCCCTGTTGCCTGTGATAAAATTCTGATAACCAGAAGTGTATGTGGGAGACTCAGGAATCTGTTAATTTTTCCTGTTTAAATAAAGCCGTGTTTGTAATTCAAAAGTATTGAGAGAGCCAATGAGCTTTGGCAAACAATTTTGTTACTAAGTGCACTTACTGTAAATGTTTAGAGGTTGTATCTAGTACAATAAAGTATTTGGCATGTGTAATATGGAGTGTGAAAGAAATACCCTTTTTCGGGAGAGCTGGTATTTTTGAATGTGAAGGGGAATTAATCAAAAACTGTATCCAGGCACAGGCTTGTCTCTTCTGGGAGATAGCATAGGGCTAAAACACAGGGGCAGCAAAGGGTCAGGTTATTTCTAGTAAATCACTTAATCCACTCTGTGATTCTTATATGCCCACCTTTCTTTCTTTGAAGTCCACATTTGCACTATTTAACCTCAGACCTCATCTTGTTGCTATAGAGAAAACATTTCCTGCACAGAGAAAACAAGCTTACTGCTTCTTTTCCTTCTTCCTATTCCTTCCTTCCTCCCTCTGCTTTCTTCCTTTTCCTTTTGCTCTTCACCTTCCTTTCCCTTTTTTTGCACATGGACATGTTTCTTCTACAATGTGTCCCCAGTTTTGATTTAACCACAGAAGGTTAACTAAGCCAAATCTGGTTGGCTTATGTATGGAAATGGATGTGTCCACACATAGACCTGCATAGCCATAGGAAGAGGGCAGAAGTGAAATAAAATTATACTTTCAGTGCTGTTTGAGTATAAGTCTTTATGACTCTTTATTTCTGCTAAATCCTATTTCACAGTTTGAAGAAAAGAGGACTTATGTAAAGGGTTCATTAGCCTCCTGCCTTTTGTTAAAGAAGCCAATCACTTACACACTGATGGGAGCCAAGTGTCTGCTTCAGCAAAACGACAGAAAAAGAAGTTGGTGTTTCTAATCACTCTAAGCATTAAGTACAAAAATAAAAAATGAGAAGAGTTCAAGTTTTTTCATCTCCCCAGATCCTGGTGATTCATGGCTAACGCCTTGGTGCTGGGCTTTCCGTGGCATGGCATGTGCAATGTAAAGCAGCCCCATACAGCTTGATTACATAATGAGCAGAAAGCCAAAACATACAATTGCAAAATAAATCACGTCTCATGAAAATGCACTGCAATACCTCTGGGATTTTCTGCTTGAGCCCTGGATCACCATTTGCTGGGAAAGCCAGACTGTTTATATGGCGATCTGTTAACATTAAATACACAACACGTGCAGTGCTGCAGCTCTCAGCCTCAGTGCACAGTAGGAGACGCGTAGAGCTGGAGCTCTGAGAGCAGAGCGCCAGCACATTTGAGATCACAGTGCCCAGAGCCTGCAGTGCACTTCCCTGCATCACCTGGGCCAACACCCCCTTCCTGCTTTGTGCCCTTCAGAATAGGTGTGTCTGGGTTGGCAGGACTGCCTCTCATGAGCTGGACCCAGCAGGAGCAAATGCAAGTCAGCCTTTTTCCTGTTAATCAAAGCCTTTCTCCCCTTAGCTGCTTGGACTTCACATGGTTACAGATCTGCTACTCCCTCCTCTAGTTCTTGCATGCCCAACTCTTGTTGAACATTCTTGCCCACCCCTCAGAATCCTTCCAGCTCCTCATTTGTGTTGCCTTGTTCTGTGCCTCCTCCAAAAAGCCTAAATCATCTCTGTGGCAAGCTTCAAGGTGGCAGACAGGTGTTTTACATCACCATTCTTTTGTAATTCCCTGGAGGACAAAGTGGAAATGGAGTTAAAGTCAGTAGACAGGCTGTCACAAGTGGCATTCCCCAGGGCCCAGTTCTGGAGCAAGTTTGGTTTAATATCTTTATTTATGATGTCTGAAGGGTGTCACTATCCTTGGAGATTTTTAAAAGTTGCATAGATGTGGCACTTAGGAACATGGATTGCTGCCGGGCCTGACAGTGATAGGTTAATGGTTATAGTCAATGGTCTTAAAGATCTTTTATAATCAAAGCCATTATATGATTCAATGGGAAATAAATAAATGCAATATATAGAGAAAAAGGAAGTGAAAAATTATGAGAAGGAAGAGACAATGCAGAAGATACTCCCCTACCTTCTGTGCAGAATTTTGTTTATAACCCTTTCAAAGGCTTTCTAGCAAGTTCAGGAAAGAATTCTTGGGTGTTGCTTTTGTTCAAAAGGAAAGAATAATGCCCCTTCCATGGCATTACTTTTTTTGTTTCTGATGAAAAATTTTGTTGTTTTAGGTGTGTCTAATTTATTAAGAGATCAAAAGGCCAACTGAAACAAGGAGAAGCCTTCCCATTTACCACCCACACTGAGCAGAAAATTAAACTGTTTTTATATAAATAGTGTTTTACCACTCAAAAGATTGAAGGATGCTTCAAGGATCACTGATATAGGTTGGGGTTTCTCCATTTCTCTGTTTTTCCAGAGTTCATGATATCTTCCTGCTTATTCTGCCACAGATTTTTAAGTCTGTACATTCTTCTTGTCCTCAAGTGTCTCTTTGCAATCCTGCTTTTCAAAATATGTAAACACTCCTTAGTTCAAGGGAGTTACTCAAAAATGTGCCTGATTTGAGCGAGTCCAGCTGCTACTGCCTTCCAGACCCCTCTCCTGTCTGATCACAGTGAGGTCTGATTTTGAGCCACAAATATATGCTAACAAGTGACAATTATTTTGTTTAGAAATTCTTGTGTCAGGGAAAATGTCAGTATCATATATATGTCTCTACAGATAATGCAATTTTCTTCAGGCAAGCTGGCTGCCCGTATGGTGTTTCTTAAAGAGACTCATTAGGAAAACAGACTTTCCTGAGCTGGACTGGGTTAAGGGTTTGAAAAAGGTGACTGACCTTTCTTTTATTTTTGAAACATCATTCCTACATCTTTGCACAAACATGCTTAGAGGTGAGCTGCTGTTCAGTCTTCAGATCATCTGTCCTTTTTCCTGCTGTTCAGACATATGCACGCTCCTATTTGTGCTCCTGAAGAAGCCTGCATATATTCTATTAAGTGGAAAACCTAATTTTCAGTCCACATGCTTAAAAGCACGAGGCATTCTGATCTACCAGAGAGAGAGTGCACAGGAGAGTGGGAACTGTGGGACCTTGACTGTCAGACCTCTTTACTTGACAGCTGGTCATATGCACACTCAGTGTTTTGATGTCTCCTTTGGTCTGAGAACACCAGACGTGTT